TTTTGTTCACAGCTTGCAATCTAGAAAAAGAAAGATGGCCTAGTCTTTGATGCCATAAACTGGAACTTGAACAGGTACTGGTGTTTACTCCAAAAACTTGGGGGCTGCAACTCTCTCCAGGGTGGTTCTCTCCAAGAAGATATAGTCCTCTACTTACTGGGATTAAACTAATCCTTTGTTGAGATATGAGGTCTTGTATATGACAAAAGGTAGATTGAAACAAAAGTGAGATTGGACTGTTTTTGGTGAGTTGACTGACTGAAATTAGGTTATAAGAAAAGGATGGTACTAGAAGCACATTGGTTAAAGAATACCACAAGGAAGCTTAACTATTCCTATATGTGTGGCTGGAGCATGATGGCCATTAGGAAGAGTTACTGTCATTTTGTCTATCTACTTACATCTAAGAAACAGCTTGATAGAACAAATGATATGGTCCCTAGCTCATGTGTCTAGAACCCAAAACACCTCATCACTAGAAGTTTTTAAAGTAGAGAATGCTATTGTACCTGCCATTGGAGAGCTGTTCCTAGTAAGGACTGAATTAGCTTAACTTGTGTTGTGAGCAGGTGGTGACTAGATCAATGCTTTAAGCCTTGTTAGCTCATCAAAGGTGAAACCAGAGAAAGTTGGGGAGCTTGAATCTTGTGGACTAGCTGGACTAGTGGGTCTGTAGTTGCTTGCTCCTCCTGAAGAAGGCATCTCTGGTGAATTAACATCAACAGACCCAGCAAAGCCTCTTCCTCGTCCTGGATTGTTCCCTGAGTTGGAACTATTGCCCAAGAGGCCATTCTTTTTCTTAAGTTTCCAGCAATCCTCCTTGACATGATTGTCCTTCTTGCAATATCGACAGAACAACCCAGTTGATTGTCCATAGTCAACAGGTCCCTTATCTCTAGGCTGCTTATATTGAGATCTAGAGGCTGCTAATGTTGTGGCTAGTGCAATAGCCTCTTCTGACTTGCCTGTATTAGCTTTAGCCCATTAAGCTGCCTTTCTAGATGAACCACAGAACGGTACACACTATCCAAATTTGGAAGTGGATCTAACATGAGCATCTGAGTCTTGCCCTGCTGATATTTCTCATTCAATCCAAGCAAAAACCTAATAACCCTTCCTCTACCTTGGTACATCATAACTGTCTCATAGGTGCGAGATGCACAATCACAGTAAGGAATAGGAAGGTAGTTATCAAGTTCATCCCAACAAAGCTTCAAATTAGTGTGATACTCTCGAATCGATTCATTTCCCTGCTTAACCAGGTCAAATTTCTCCTGTAAGTTTGCAATTCGGACTGAATCCCCTTGACTAAACTTACCCTTCAAGTAAGTCCAAGCCTCAGATGCAACCTTGATAGTACGCAAACTAGGGACAATATTTTCAAACACAGAGTTTCTAATCCAACAGACAACAGTACCATTAACGCGATCCCGGGTCCCATAACTTGGATCAGTAACATGAGGTACCTCGATTGTGCCTGCGATGAACCCTAACTTGTTCTTCGTCCTATGAGCGACTTCCATGGATTCGCTCCACAACAGATAGTTATCATCTGTTAACTTGAAGCTGGTGACAGGTAAAAATGAATTGTCACTCTGGGCAAGGTAGAAAGGGTTGGAATAAGGATCCTCGTAGCGTGGTGAAGAGGTCTCCTTGTCTTTGTCGTCGTTCCTTTCACTTGAAGTTCCGTCGGCCATGGCGGCGCGTCAAAAGAAGGCGAGAAAGAAGAAAACAAGGGTAGAACAGAAGTCAAGCTGGTATGAGCCAACCAGGCTCTGATACCATGAGAATGTTTGTGACCTAGCTGCGGTAGTGCTAGGGTTTCAGAGAAGAAGAGAAGCCGAGATTGTGGGAATCGGCGGATGCCTTTCTCCATTTTCCATTGATCAATATATACCAAGAACTAATGACAAAAGCAGAGTGTTCTACTGTAGATTAACGGCTAAAAGAAACTAACAATCAAACACTACCAATGACAATGAGCCACTTATCTAACCACTAGCGCTAATTACATATTTCAAATGAGCGGGTGGAACGACGCCGTTTGGGCTCTTATTTATTCACTGGTTTCCATAGCCAAGTTGGATGAAAGAAAGCCCGACCCGGCTGACCCTGCATCTCCATTCTGCTAACAGCTACAGGATCTTCTTCTTCCTTCTTCAATGATCATCACCACTGCAGCTGTGCTTCATACTCCTCCTCAAGCTGGTGAGTGGTGAGTACATATCATGTACTCCCAGCTTGCGTAACAAGAACTAAAACCTGTTAACAGATAACCCCTTTGTAAAGATGTTTGCTAACTGGTATTCTGTCCTAACATGATGAAGATTCAGTAATCCTGATTTCAATCTTTCTCGAATAACATGCCGCCGTCTCCTCTCCTAGAAAGAAGCCGAAGAAATGCCGAAATGGGAGGAAGAACGCCGCCGGCTTCCCTGTTAAACGTTTTACATCAGCAGATACCCATTTTAGGAAAACTGGGTTAGAAAGATCAGATGCACTATAATAGTAGGATGGTTAGCCGAGAATCACGTCACTGAAATCCCCAAGCCAAGCAATCAAGGGGTTGTTTATGCCCAATATCTGGAGCATATTGCTGAAGGGAGTGCACCATTGTTCCTCTCCCATTTGTACAACATTTACTGCTCTCACATTGCAGGAGGCCAAGTCATAGCTTCACAGGTTAGTTTCTCTATGCAATGGATCAGCTGCGAATTAGGACTCTGAGGCTGAAAGAAGTATGAAACTTTGAACTTTAAGTAGGAGAAGGACAAATAAGTTAGCAACTAGAGGGCCCTTGAATTTAACAATTGTAGCCCTGTTGGGAATGTGGGGTATAGGTGTGTGATAAGCTCTTAGAAGGGATGGAGCTGGAGTTCCTGTACTTAGCAGGAGGGTTGATTGTGGAATGTAGCATTGGTCTTGAGACGAGAAGAACAGATGCTTAAAAGAGACATTAAAGTTTCAAGGTGTATGGGTCAGATAGTTTGGTTGATCTTCTTACGAAGAAGAGAAGATAGTGAAGAAGTGATGAATGGATTCTCTATTCAGAAGCACTTCTCTCCATTGCTTGACAAGAACGTTGAGCCAGTGGCGAGAATACTCCGCCAAGCAAACAAATGATACTGCTGCCATCAAACTCACTCCAGTGACTGGTTAGATGAAGTAATGGGCTAATGGCGAAACTGCTACAACCAAGTTTTCTGTCGCCTTCCAAAGGTGGAGGAGCTCAGAGCTTTTAGCTTTGTTATGTAATGTAATGTAATGTAATGTAATGTAATGTAATGTAATGTAATGTAATGCCAGGAGATATCCCCATGAGATCAGAAGTGGGTTTCAGACAGCATTATCAAGAATGTTAACTTGTATCAAGTAATGACTAATGCCTAACAGAAAGCTGATTGTTTGACATTTCCATTCAGAGGGAGACTTGTTCATGAATCGCCTGGCTGATGGATCTGGCATATGCTGATTGCAAAACCCAGGAAATTTTTGGATTCTTTTTGCTTTCTTGGGCATCGAAATGAATAACAATAAACAAACACACAGCTTCATTCTCACTGTAAAGCAACCCAATCCTTTCTACTATTTCTAAGTCTCTCCACGTCTTGATTTCCCATGTCCCACGCTGACAAACAATGGTGCAAGCTAGCAAAGTTGGACCAAGGAAAGAAAAGATGGAAAACCACAAAGCTGCACAGCATACGATATGCAAATGAAAGGCAGGCACTACTGTATTAAATGAGGGTAAGTCGTGGTGTGATAGTGCAAGCCCGCACAAGTCAAACGTTTGGTGTACTGTCTTTTACTATCATATCCTATCCCCCAAAAACATGTTCGCTGTTTGTTTGTGTTCAAATAATTGTCCAGCATGTTTCTGATTAAAGTTAACCATGTAATTCATTAAGTCATTCCCAAAAGAAGACTTTGTGATCGTTAAAGTGTCATTAAAAGCATAGACATTCATGATTCCTAATTATGATTCCTCCATTTGAACTAACTGAAATGAATAGTTCATATACCAGACAGTCATTTGATTTTGTCACAAAAAGAAAGAAAAAGGTAATCATAATGATTAGCTTAGTATCTTTGCAAAAATTCAAAACTAAAGAAAGTGTTCCATCTTTTCGTATGGCACGTTTCAATGGTAGTAAATAGTAATATGTTGCAATTTGTTATTTGCACTCTTTTCTCACTTTAAATTTTGGCTTCTTCTTACATAAACAATATCAGTCTGTCATTCAAACAATTTGCACAAATATTATCAATCAGATGTTGTAATACGATACATATACGATCAATCACAAAATGAACGCTATATATGAACGCCGTATTATTATCCTATTATTTCCGCTTAGTAAAGAAGTGGGTAGTTTTGAATTGTATTAGCTCCCTCAACCTTCTGGATTCAATAATAACAATAATTAATTAAGCATGAGTGTTTGAAGTCGGTTATCAGCCTTTTCAAGTTTGAAAACCTTTGGACTCCCCTTTTGGTGTTACTGAAAAGATGAAGAACAAGAAGACATGAAACAAGAAGAGTTACTTCCCCGTGTAATTGTCCTTGGAGCTTCCTTCTGAGCTTCAAAGGCGCCAATGGCTGAATTCATCTGTATGTTAAGCCAGGTGGGTTCTCATTTCCTCACCTGATCCATCAATTCCTCTCTGATAAACAAAGCCCGGTTTTCATGCTCTGTTTCTGAAACAGGTTTTCTAGTTTTGCGTCCCAGTGAAATAGCTACCAAGATTTTCTCTTTTCCCTCTTTCCAATTAGAAAAAAAGAAATGGTTTGTCTGGGTTTCAAGCTTTAATTACACAGCACAGATATTAAGGCACAAAAATGAAATCAAATGGGGTTTTCTTCCTTTCTCCATTGATTTTGTCAAGTGGGCACCTTACACTCTGACCATTTCTATTGCCTAGTTTTTCTCATCTAATCTCTCCCCTCAAAATACTCTTAATTAAACTTCCCCTGTCTCCACTTCCCTTCCCTTTTTTTCCTTCTCCTCAATCCTTAATGGAGCATAGTTATAGATGGAAGCCAATGTAATCAATCATTCATCTCTTCCTTCTTTCCCCCTTTTGTCCAATGCTTTTAATGATTGCTGAGCGAGTTTCATCATCTGGGTATTAATTAATTGGTTATTTGCAGGATTCATTAGTCATCAAAGCTCCTAAGAAATCCCCATTGCTGCCAAGACTCGTGGTGCTGGCATTTGCCATGGTCTGTGGAGTCTACATTTGCTTCATATGCTTAAAACAGATCAACACCAACAATGGCGGCAGCACCACCAGCAACAAATTCCTCGACGTCAAAGTCGTACACCAGCTCTGCAACTCTTCCGGCATTGAACAATGGGAGATCCCTTTGGTCCACTACCCGAATCCTGTCACGTTTAGCAGGTACCATAATAATCATCATCACACGCACAAAAAAGAGGGGGAAAAACAGAGCATTTTTCGGGTTGTGACCGATTTCGCTATGTGCAGGGAGGAATGCGTGTGCAATCCGGTGAGGTACTTCGCGATCCTGTCGATGCAGAGATCGGGGAGCGGGTGGTTCGAGACGTTGATGAACAGCCACATCAATGTCAGCTCCAATGGCGAGATCTTCGGGAAGAAAGATCGAAGGGCGAATGTTACGGCCATTGTTAATGTGCTGGACAGAGTTTACAATCTGGATTGGTTCAGTAGTGCTTCCAAGAACGAGTGTAATGCTGCTGTTGGATTCAAATGGATGCTTAATCAGGTAAAGAGGCTTTGTTTAACAAAATCTGCAGGGCAAGAAATGGGAATAAACATCCTTCGGTAGCCCGAATCTGCGAATGAAACGTCATCGCTTTGTGGATGCAGGGGGTGTTGGAACATCATGAAGGGATAGTGGACTACTTCAACATGAATGGAGTTCATGCAATTTTCCTGTTCAGGAGGAACTTGATTCGGAGGTTGATATCTGTGCTGGCCAATTCCTATGATAAGAGCAAGAAACCTTTGAATGGAACCCACAAGTCTCATGTCCATTCAGTCGCCGAGGTACTCATCTTAAATTCGTTAATCTCGTCAATTTGATCTTCGGTACAGTATCATAAGAACATATAATTAATTTGTCTATCCGCAGGCCAAAGTTCTGGCGAAGTACAAGCCATCGTTGAACGCCTCGACATTGTTGGCAGAGCTAAAGAGCGTCGACAGTAGAGCTGCGAGGGCGATTGGGTACTTCAAGTCCACCCGCCACATCGTCCTCTACTATGAAGATGTCGTTGGAAATAGAACAGTAAGCGAAAACAATAAACCTGTGTATCATCTATTGTCAAGTTGAACATTTTAACCAGTTTCGCTTCTTCTGCAGAAACTGAAAGAGGTGCAGGACTTTCTCGGATTGCCCTACAGAGAACTAACGAGCCGACAGATTAAGATACACAGCGGAACATTAGCAGAACAGATAGCAAACTTCGAAGAAGTCCAGACGGTGTTGAAAGGAACACCATACGAATCCTTTCTTCATCAGGATTACGGAGAGATGTAGGTTGTTTTCACTTTTCTTTTTGATCAGGTGTAGATAAAAATAACCCCCCCTGGCTACTGCCTCAGTTTCAGAAAGTTCTTTTCTTGTTTCACATTTAGCTGGGGGTTTTTCCCCCACCCTTGTTCTCAATTGTTTCTGGAAACATGATTAGTTAAAGTAGCATCAGAAGATGAATCAATCTCCATTTCTTCCAATTCTTCACTACCATGTGTCGAGCAAGACTGTCAATTCTAACCATGAAGAGCATTGTATCTTGGCGTCGACTCTAATTAGCTGAGAGATAGAATAGTAAGTTACATATATACAGAGTTCATAAACCCAGGAAGAGGTGAAGGCTGAAGGGTTAGTGGAGAACTAACTTTCAAATTCTCTGCCGCGATTCTCTTTCCTGGTTCTGTGCTTCTAAGATTAATGATGTTACAACATACAGCAAAATCTAGATCAACAAGAGATCAGGGAGAGACTGATCCGTTAGTTGCTGCTGCTCCTACCCCTGGTACTTCCTCTGTCCTTCTAATCACGAAATGGTCAACTATCTTGACCGAATTCACCGGATCCTGTTGGTAAGCCGCAGCGCTCCATTTACTAGGGTACTTCCGGTGATGGCTCATCTGCTGTGCCTGCCTTGGCTCTGCATCCCAATGTGGATCTAGCTGCCACTCCTTGGGGACCTGCATTACGACGGAAGAAGGTTTAATTTTCCGTAGCATGGTTCCAATTGATCATGTATCAAGGCATTGTTTGAATAAAATGGAGATTTTTAGTACCTTGTCGACCGCAAGAGTGAATATTTCGAGATCCCCAGCTCTGTCGATGTGTAATCTGGTAAACGACTTGTAATTTGCAATACGAAGGGAAGAGAAGGCTTCATCGAAGTGAATCTGAAGCCAATTAATGCAAATGTACAAGTAACTTCCGAACACGAATGAGACGATTGGTGTCGAGAAGACCCAGAAGTAGAGGAAGACGGAAGCATAGTAAATGATTGCACCTCCTCTCGACAGTGCTTCGGCACCATTCTTGCATATATTACTACGTGTGACAGCCATGACCTCAGGAACATCAAAAGCAGACATCAAGTACTTTATGCATGCAGGGTAAAGCCCGAGCGTCCATTGTTCTATCCTATCTCGAAGACCGGTGGGGTCAGGAAAGTGTTCTCTCTCCACTGCTCTGTACCACTCGTATAAAGTGTGGTATCCTAAGGGGAGAAAAGGATCCCGAGTCAGAAAGAAGCTACTAAAAAAAGCCAATTCAACCGAAGCCATGAGTAGGGTAGGCAGTGAGAGAGAGCGAGAGAGATCATGCCTGATGTAGCGAGTAAGTTATGACGAATGCATGTCTCGATACCAAGTTCCAAGAGCAACATGAGGACAAGGGCTGATGCAAGATGTGCAGAGAAATGAAGAATTCCAATTATGGCACGTTTCTTCCATGACATCTTTGATGGGACAAATGTAACTGCTGCTATCAGCAATCCCAGAGCACCAAGCAAGGATACATGAGAGTGTTGTAGCAAGTAGAGAAATTCATTCCAAACTGTGCCAAAGAAACTCCATATGTGGCCCGAAAATGAATCACTTTGCAAAATGACGTCAAGGTTACACTAGACATGAAGAAGAGATTAATATAGTCAGTCCATCCATACAGCAAAATGGCATACGAATACTAATTTATGGTAGTAAACATTATGATACGCGAGATGGTAGGAGAATGGCCATGTAATGTTCTGATTACCTGAGGGAACATGGAAAACCCCAGCAGAAAGTACAAAATGCCGCCAATGAAATCGAATTGCCAGTTCTTCTTACGGAACTTCAAAATATTCCCCAAAGCAATCTGTGTGATACCAACGATAGAATCAAGAAACAAAGTTGACTCAAAGGGATGCATGAAGAGAAGATTTTGAGGGACTTATTTACCCTGCCAGAATCTTCTAGAGATGGATAAGCGGCCTTGGTATCATAGGTAGCTCCATATGCTTTCTTGAAGCCACCAAAGACATGGGTGGGGTGTAAAAAAGCACCACCACAGCCATTTACAATTAGATGCTGCACATCAACTGGGCCATCTGAAGGTACATGTGAATGACGCATGTAATGATGCAAATCTCCGGCCATCCGAAGCTTGCACCTTCCTTTCAGATAGTCATGTACAAGATGTGTGACATTCTTCCCAGAAACATCATTCCAGTACCAATCAAGCAGCCAATTTGGTTCATGGGTAATGATGATCACAGAGTCATTTTCTCCTACCTAATTGAGGGAGTACCAATGTGCATAATCATCAGTTGATCAGAAAGGGAACTGGAAAACAGAAATAGAGAGCAATAGATAGGTTCCACCAGAGGCACAAGTCTATAAAAGCTAATACCCTTTGCCGACTGCAAAACATCTATGCTACTGATATAGGTAATAATGAACTACAAACATCACGTGGCACACCATTTCAAGAACTAGGAAGTAACACATGATGGTGGAGATCTCCTGCAGACATGCCTAATTTTTTTACAGAAAAGACCCAAGGCTGAGTCTAGAAAGAAACTCGATGTGCAATTTTCCCTATACGGAGAGAGGAGAGAAATGCCATGTAAAGGAACTCTTGAACACGGGAAATACAAAAGCTGCTTGCACAAGAAGATTTCAGGGGAAGATATTTATTCTGATGTCAAATGAACCATGAATTATCTAAACCTGACACTATCATGCTCGTACACTTACATAATTTAGCAGCACAATATATTCAAATGGACAAGGAAAAGAAGACAGACCTTCTCTTTCACTACTTCTGTAAAGAATTTGAACTGGTACACGTCAATATCATTATGGAGTGCAAGATCGAGACCAAAAACCCACCACCCTTTAGGAAGTTGCAAAGCGAAATAACTCTTTTTCTGGGGCATAAACCATCCACCCAGCCAGCTTTTATGACATATGTACCTCATGAAAGTATGAAGCCCATCGAACCAATCTGTAATGGTGAACATAGAAGCACTATGAACTAGCTCTGAAAACCTTCTACAAAAGTAGTTTAATCAGGTAACAAATAAATACTCACCATGGTTTCCAGGAATGACAAAACATTGAGGTCCGTCATACTGTTTAAGTTCAGACACCCCATGGGGTAACTCAGGCTTGTGCACTGCAACTTGATCCTCTTTGTACCAGGAAGGTGGCTGCAGAGCATACTCAAAGGGACAAAAGAGGCGCCTTTGGTATGTGAATGCCGAAGGATTAGGATATCTGCAATGAAATCACTAGATCATCAGTGAAATTGAAATAAGCTATATAACACAAATTCGAACCGGATGATAAGAAGTTACCCTTATAATTAGAAAATGAAATACAAAATAATGGCTAATTCAATCATTCTCAAAATTTCAGCATCAGAAAGTACAATTAACTTACGCAAGATCCCCTCCCACAATAAGTAACTTTGCTCTGGGCAGAGAGAGCACAGAATCACCTGTGCTAACCCTAAGAGACGGTTGAGCAAGTAAGCGTGCAACACTGTAGGTTGAGTTCCCACCATCACCTGTATCAGCCATGAAGTCAAACCACAGATCGTCTTGTTTGCTAAGATGATCATAGAAATGGTCTGATTTAACTCCATCTTGCACCTTGTTCATTGCTGCCTGATATTGCAAGAAAATGGATATCTCACTCTTCATGCAAACAAGATAATTTTTACAACCCAAAGAGAATATTATGCATGGCCTTTCAGTACCAACCATAAGTTGACAATAGGGAGAGGAGTTAAATGCATTCATTAACTTATCCTGACACGGTACATATGTTCAAAAAGCTTTGCACATATGGAGGGGCTTGTCAAGAGTGATCTCTTTAATCTCAAGAAGCCCTTAAGACCATGAAAACACACATATTGAAGCTACAATAAGAGTGGTTCTCAGAAACAAGGGGGGGGGGGGGGGGGGGGGAGCTTAATAAAATTATTGCTCTTCCAAGTTACTAAAAGGCTGCATTTCTAGAAACATAATTATCAATGTATGATTAGGCAATTTGCTAACGTACCTGCATCATGCGCATGTCAAAACGACCGACAAATACAGTTACTGATACCAAAAGGTCAAACAGTGTCTTGAATAAATCAGCAGAGGTTCTGCAACATGTAGTTCACTAGCACAGTAAGGATAAAAAAAATTCAAAAATCTTTTTGAATGATGAGATGTTGTCACATCAAAGAAAACCGATGCCAGGGAAATAGATAATATGTGAACATACCCTGAATACCAAGGAACCATATCCAGAAAGTCTGGGGTCATCTGCTTCTTCTTTAAATTCTCATACTCTTTAACTGACAAAGGGTGAGTAAGAGCCCACCTGTCCATACAAAGTGTTCAGATATTTGTATTAATGTTTTTTTGGAAAAAAGACTATGATACTGTCTATGTCAAGTGTAACCAACGGAGAGAAACCTACTAACCGAAACAAGGAAAACAATCAGCACTCACCCAGTTGACCTTTCCACCACATAGTTAGCGATATAAAGACCAATAAAGGTAGCCCACAATGAATATATAGGAGAAATATTATCAGATGAGGCTGCACATTCATCCCCGCTGCAACCTATCTACAAAATGAAGAAATGAAGTGAAAGTAAGTAAAACAGCAGATCACAGAAATCATGTCAACAAAAAACTCCGACAATAGAATGTTTATCTACCTCTCCATAGAGAACCCATTTTGATAAAAGTGGATAATCACTTGCAGATCCAACAGGTGCAAACCAAGACGAGCAGACCTGGTCTTTTAATTCGTTCATGCGGATAAATTTAGCTAGCCAGGTATTGATCTCTCCCTTCTTCCTAAAAGGAAACCAACTAGAAAGGCTTCTCTGAAGGGGTCTATCTTTCATCAAAGCCTGGTTTCCACAATGGCTATAAAACACACAGCAGGCTACGCTGAGAACCTATGCAACAAATGACAAAGCAAAAAAAAAAAAAGGATCAGGGTGTTATCCTAACACAAGCCAATACAATTGAACGCAAAGAAAATTATGGGAGAAAGTCTTACGGCGCAATTTTGGAAGATGGTCAATATCTCTGGCTGTTTTGCAGCAACACGAGAAACAAGACCGAGATGCCATAGTCCAAGAAATATAATGTGGAATACAAGAAGAAACACGATCGAGGACACATATATAGTCATGAACAAGGACAAATTCATCCTCATATCTACTCCCATTGACTGAAAACTAGGGAGATGATATAGGGCTGCAACTAAAATCCAAGCCGTATACCTGCCGAAGTAAATACCGAAAAACTCATTACTACCCATATACAAT